CACCTGTGAAAACACGCACATCGACAAACACGCACACACAAACCTAAGTCCATACACATGCCATTAAGGAGCAGCTGGCTGGGAAACAGAGACCCAGGTCACACAGGCCCAGGTGGCATTGCTGTAAAATGACACTGTGATTTAAGTCCTGTGTCATGGTAAGGTCTGTTATCTACCGCCGCCAACAGGGCCACGCTGATATGGTCCGACAGCCAACGACTGCAGCTCAGGAGGTAGAACCGATGACAGATTGGTTCAGACTTTGCAACTTCCTGCCGCAGTGAGCATTTACATGAATCATATGTTTGTACAGTTTTCAAACACATTTACATCCAAAACTGTAGTCGGACTTTTTTTGTCTTGGCTCCTGTTAGACATTGATTACATTTCTTCCTGCCTATTTCTTTTACCTTTTTTGTTTGGGCAGTTCACTGATAGATGAATGACTAGATAGAAAGGGCGAGAGAGGATGACGGCAAGCGACAAATGTCCCATCTCTGGCTGGATATGAACCTGGGACGTCACCATGATGCTGTGTCTTAAACAGCTGAGTCATCAAGATACACCTTCTGTTTGTTTGAAAATACAAACACGGACATTTTCCCTGCCAGCAAACAAAAGCAACACACTGAATCCGGTGCATGTAATGATGTTGAATCTATAGTGTGCTGTATTCAATAATTGAGTGTTACAAAGTTTGCTCCTGCAGACTGATGTGTCTATCTGATGTCTGCACATCCTATAAGAAACTATTTACACATTACAAGACTATAGTATGTACTTTGTACACATTTTCATAATATGCTTGTTTTTGTAGTTAGTTTACAATAAATGAATGTACTTAATACTTTATTTATTTTTTATTTTACATTATTTTGTTCCTTGGGACATGATTGTGCCAGTGAACATTAATTACAGAGTGACTACAGAATTACACCTCACAAAGAGAAAACTTTTCTCAAAGATTTATAATACTTCATTGTTTGCTTTCTGAGGTGTTACTGGAGCAGTTTTTTCATTACCACTATCCATTAAACATTTGCAAAGCTATGAGCAGCTCCATTTCCTTTGAGAAATCCATTATGCCATATCAGCACTGACTGTGTCCCAATTCCATACTACATATGCCAATTTTAAGCAGTTTGTTTATACGCCGGAAAAATAGCACACTGAAAAAAAGTTCTTAAACAAAGCAGAGCTTGATTGTTCAGTGTGAGAGCAACAGAAAAATATGTAAAAGCAACAAAAAAAGTTACAATAAATCTTTGGAAAAAAACATTTTCCTTTCTCAAGTTAAATGGCAATTTTAATCCAACGCTGCAGTGTGATTGACTTCCGTCATTGCATGTATTCTATCATTTCCTGTTTTTATTTAAAAATGTGAAGAAAATACCAACTGCAACAGTACATTGTATACTACAACAATTAGTGAATAATACATATTGTATAATAGGCTTTTCACAGAGGGCATTTTGACATATCACAGTAGAAATTAAAGTAATAATGGCTTTATATCATTAAGCCGCTTCAGTTTCAGGGTCCTGGTATTGTGCATGCTGGCTCCTTGTTTCATTGTTATGGCTTACTGGCCTTTATTAATGTTATAAGTAACTATTTTGAGAAGTCAAAAATTCATATTACTGTATCGTTGTTATATACATATTTTCCACAGCAATCACACTCACACAAAGTCAAGCAGAATACTGACATCTTTAAGTGTATTTGATTTTATCACTTTTCCAGTGTAAACGTATTACATACTCAAAATCTGCTTAGAATTAGTACGCCGTTTGGCATCGGAACATAGCTAGCTAGTGGCGGTTTAACGTTGGTCTTAAATATCACTTGATGGTCTCGTCTGACCTTTTCGACCTGCTCTGCTCCTTTAAAATAAGCTAGTTCTGATCATGGAGTTGGGTCAGGTTGAACTGAGGTGTTTAATTTCCTCACCTCTGCCCAGAAATGACTGAGTTTCCTAGTAGGGGTGTGCGATATTGAAAAATAGATATTTTCTAGGATTTTCGATAACATAATTAGACGATATTTGGCATCCTTCAAAAATGTGTTTGTAAAAGTCATGTGTGAGCATAGCGAGTGTGTGTAGTAGAAGAGATAGAGTGATAGTGTGTGAACGGGTGCACTGGTGAACGGGAGTAGAGCAGATAGCAACGGGTCAGCAACAAACCCTTAGTTTAGCAGTAATGTGCAGTGTAAGTTACAGTGGCCATTGAATAAAGACTGCAGCTTCTCAAGACTACAGCGGAGCTCCAGTGTGCTGCTTGCCAACTATTGAAGAAAAAGTGAAGGGCGTCAGCCCTGAAATTAGCATTGACTTCAACCCTGGAGAAAAACAAAGTCTCCCCTGTGCTTTCTGACTACAGTCTGGGAGCCGAACAGGAACAGTTAATAGGATATTAATTGTTGCTTATTAATGATATTAATGGAACCAGTTCTTATTTATGTAATTAAAACTGAGCATTTAAGACGATAAACACTGAAAATCACAAATGCAAGTATTACTGACATGAAACAGTGTGAGTAAGAGTTAACCATTTCATCTCACTGTATTATAGCCTGAGTCTTTAGTGGCTTTGATTCTGTCATCATCATTGTAACGGTATTTGAACCAGAGTTTGTTTTTGTGCCGGTACCTTGGTTTAGGGCTGTCTCGAACTGCTGACTCCCGAAGCTTTTCAAATTCTTGAGTTTCTGTGCGGTTATTAGTTGTTGGTCTTTAACAGCAACCGATTTTTGACATAGTTTGCAGACTGAAGTCTTTTGAGAAACATCCGTCTTTTCAAAGCTGAACTACCTCCATGTCAGTGAGGTTGATCCACACCTAGTCTAATTCAATCTAATGATGCAGATTCTGATGGTGTCAGTGTTTTATATTCTGCCGCTGTTTGTTCACTCATTTTTAACTTTAGTCATGAATTTTTCAGCATGATGCAGTGACTGACAGACATGCTGTTTTTGAAAGTTTTTTGCAAAGTGAGTGACGTAGCCTACTCGAGTCGGTCTATTCACACATTGTTAAAGCAACAATTAAGATACTGTTGTAGAGAATACATATCGCAAACCCCTACTTCCTAGCAAACCCTTTACATCTGGTTTTAAATCACCAGCTGAGACACGGTTACTCGGTTGACTGGCGAGTCATTCAGTCAGTGCTGCGTTCCACCTGATCAGCTAGGCGAAGCTGAGGCAGAGCGTCTCCTAGACTGCTGGCGGCAATCTAGATAATTAGAGTTGTGTTCCATCACTGTTCCATCTCGGGCAAGCTGATGATTAATCCATGCACCATGCAGCAAGCACTGAACCAAGGAACACACATACACATACAAGGTAAATGCAGACGAGCTGCTCCAGTGTTTCAAGAGTGTGTTATGTTGTTGTGGACTTTAAGATGTTAGTTAGTGTAGTTTGTTTGGATAAGCAGAGAAAATTAATGTAGTTTTACATTTAGTTATATTGCTGTGCACTTCAAGAAAACTAGTTAGCATGGTTAAGTGACTAACCTAAGTATTTTTTATTTCTGGAGTGGTATACTGTATAAGCTCAACATAATGATAGCAGGATCTCCCTCTGATTACATTAAAATACATTGTGTTACTGCTGACTTTCAGGCTGATTTAAAAGTTGTTACTATGGACACTAATTACCTCTAAATACTGGAATATGTGCAGCCAACACAAACAATGACGGACAGGCAGAGACAGAGACATATAGACAAACCTCTCAGCGCTCATCACATATTCATTATATGCGATTCATTGTTCACCCCTCGAGTTTGGTCTCTGTCACCAATCAGTAATGAATGGAGCACTGCATCACACCCAGGGGCATTATGTCCTGTAATGAGATTCTTCTCCCCGAGCACACCTCCCTAATCCCACGTCTCTATCTGTGCTTCGTGGGCCTTCGGAACAGCTGAGCCAGGCTGAACATAGGCGCTCTACATGAAATTTGTTGTTAACCCTGAATCCTGAATAAGAGCGAGACAATGGAGCTGAAATTGAATGGATGCTACGCCTATTACCGAACATGTTAATCCTCTTAAGAAGTTAAGAGAGGTCTTGATGACATGTGGGAGAGGCAGGAGTGTACAGCTCTGTGGAAATGAGCAGAGGCTAGTCTGAGAAACGAGGTTCATCCTAAACAATGGTGAGACCGGAGCCTGGTTCTCTTAGTCATTAACCTGCCATTCTTTTGGGGAAAATGATAGAGAAAGGCATTATTAGGTAAGGATTTAAAAAGGCGGATAAGACACATGCCCTTGGTGTGAGAGACTCGGGTTCAATTCCCCACAGTGACTCATCCACCAATGTGTCCCTGAGCAAGACACTTAACCCCTAGTTGCTCCAGAGGTGTGCGACGTTGCTTTGGATAAAAGTGTCAGCTAAATGAATTAATGTAAATAACAGAGAGCAGTTTTAGGATATGTTGTTGCCAAATGTCTCCAACAAACAAATACTCTTTCCAACTTTCCATCCCTTGCTGATCTGCAGCTTGAATAATTTTTTCCGCTTCTGCAAATTCAAAATGCACCAAGACACTGTCAGAGAAGTTGTGAGACCATCTGCAACTAGGGTGTTTAGAAAGACTGCCAGAATCTTGCTACCTCATTAACCAGATTTTCCCCAGACCTGCGTTTGCCTGATGTCTATAACCCAGGCAGCCCATGCTTCTGACGCTTCTCATAAAAGCTGCCCTCTAGAGAATGGCCTCCAGTGCCGTATAGTGCCTCTTCAGAGGGACACGTTAAGTAGCTCACTTTCATAACACCTCACGAAAGGGAGGATTTGAGACAAGGAAAGCACAGAGCATTGAGCAGACCATCCACATCGATAAGGTCAATATTATAGCGGCGAACCTAACAGTGAATGTCAAAGTACTGAGTGGTGAATTTGTCAGAGAGAAAAATTGGTCTGCTGTGGAATGTAGTGACGCTGTGCCAAAAACAGGAGCTAACAAATAAAGAAGACTGTGATCTGACTCACCTGTCTTTTCCCGTCTCCTTCTTGAAGACCATGTCGCAGTAGTTCATCCTGTCCTCTGTGTTGACATAGATTCGTGCATGAGGATAGTTCTCAGCTGCCTGTCGCAGCATGTTGTACACGATTCCCTTCCCATCCTTCCTCATGTTTCGTAGGGGCCCCCACACAACATAGACGGTGTCGTTGCCCTGGCCAAAGAAGTACTGGGGCTTCTGCAGCAGCAGGGGGACGCTGGTGTGCGAGACGACTCTCAGCGTGGTTCTCTGGCCCACGTCATGTTCAAAGCCCCTTGTGGGAGCATTGTTCATCCGCCAGATGCAGGGAGAGCGGTCGATCTGCGGGCCGGCAGCCTTGCCCAACATCTGGCCAGAGCTGGACACAATGCTGCAGAGCTCACAGTGCAGCTTCAGAGGCTGGAGGAGAGGAAGCAAGTCAGATACAATAATTAATCATTATTATATCACAATTGTCAAGTCCAAGTCAAGTCTCGATTCCAAAGAGACAAGTTTGAGTTACATCTCAAGATGTCAAGATAAGTCTCAAGTCTCAAGTTTTTTTCCTGTTAATTCTTAGGAGTCTGTCAACTCAAGTCTTCAAGTAGTTAAGTTTCAAGTAAGTCAAGTCCCACAGGAGTCAGGTCCAAGTTAAGTCTCAAACCTCAAGGCTACAGCTGCGGTTAAATAAAACAATGAGCAATCTATAACTTTTCTTCTTCCTCTAGAACTTCTCTCCACAACCAAGGCAACAAGCAGGGCTGCGGTACAGCTCACACAATAGAGGCACTAGATAATAAGAACAGTGACCCAAGAGGAAGGAAATATATCACAGTGCAAAATACTGCAGTGCTTTATCATTTTATAGCTTGAGAATAATGCTTGTGTGTGTTTGTACATACAGATAACAACATCCTCTATCACCGAGAGGCAAAAAATGCAAGAGTGTTGGTAAGGGAACAGGGGTGGTCTTAAAATTACCATGGGAACACAAGAATACAGACAACAAAATTGGAATTTCTAACTTGCCTTTAATTTAAATAGGTTCTTTTTTTTAAACACCGAATGATCGTCTAAAATATATTGCATCTCTCTCTCATTTTCATCTTATTATCTTATAGTTTGTGATATACTTTATATGTGTGCAATAATAATATTAAAGTGGTGTTTTGGCAAGGGGCTTGTGTGGTCAGAACATAAAATAAGATGCATTTGGTAATTATTTATAAAAACTATTCATCATGATTTTTACAGCTCTATTTAATGTTCTTTTATTTCCTAAGATTAATGTCACTGTGCCCAGAACTAACATTGATTAAGTTAATTGAATGTGGGACCCCAGAGGTTACAACAGTCTTATTGCGACAATGCAGAAGAGAGAAGCAAGGGAGCTGTGTCATTTATCTTACTGTATATTTTTTATATATCTTATTATACTTTACTGGAGCAAGGGGATTTGTAATGAATCTTCAATAATAGCTCTTAGCTATGCTTTGCCAAGGGAGGAAAGAAGCCCTCTCTGAATCCAAAATGGGAGATTTACCTAATTGAAGCTAATATGCTTGGTTTGTTTTGATGAAATTAAACTTTCTTAAGTGAATGAATGCAAGAGAAAGTTAGAAAAGAAAAAGCATTGTGTCATGACTAAGCCCTGTTTGATCATTTTCTTAATGGAGAATAACTGTAATGCCACTGGTCTGAATACAAATTGCATTTGTGCTGCGTTCTGGCTGCCTGTTTAGGCAGCGAACATGAAACTTTCTATTACATGTTCTGCGTTTAATCAACAAACAAGAGAGCTTTTGTGTGCAAACAGGATCCCACAAGGAAATCCAGTAAATTATATTACAACTACTTAACTTATCAGCACTCATATGACTCATTGCTGTGCAAACAAAAGATGAACTGCTCAGAAAGGGGAAAAAAACAGTGTTGATTTTCTCACAAGACATATTTCTTGGGCAAATTATTCCAACAGATCTACCTGCCATTTGCTTTTTCTCTCATGTATGGATTCAGTCATAGATTCAAAAAATGTCTCTGGACTGGGCTGGTAGCTCTCCGTTCACTGGGTGGTTGAGACACACATCACTGCAGCCTTGAGCTGTCAGCAGCTCGTCCATCATCACCCGCTCCCTTCAGCCCGGCTCATAACTCCATCACGCCTTTCAGCCCACACAGATTAGCTGTGCTCTGTGGGGAGCACTGGCTGTCTAACTGCATGCGAGACACATGCGTTTGCGACTGGAAGCCTACCACGAAGGAGCCCCTGAGCAAGGCATTTAACACACAACTGCCGCAGTAGAGCTGCTCAGTGACAAACTTCTGAAATTTCTTACATTAATTAAGGTTCATTTAATAATAAAACAGGAATCTGTGTAGTTCACAGTCACAAAAATAAAAATGGCAGTGAACATTATTAGCATCCCATGAACTCTAATCGCATTTACATGCATTAAGGAAGTGTGCCTCATCTAACAACTAAAAACCCTACTGGGACATTTTTATTTCATTTATAATAACAGGATCTAACTCCCAACAAATCTGTGAACATTACATCCTGTAAATCAAAAAAATTTTACGGCCTCTTCATCCTCTCAGCTGTGATTCATGTTTCAGTTTCATGTTCATGGCGGAGCTGTTTCAGAGTGGCATGCAGTAATCGCAAACAGAGTGCGCTTTTATAATCCCAATAATTTTGGCACTCTCTGATAAGTACAAAATCTACTGAAAGCCTCGGATTTTATTGCAGGAGTGTGTTAAAAATAAAGTGGGTTATTTAAAAAAGCAGGCTTAATGCCGGGAACGCAGTCATCATTAAATTATAGCACTGGGGTGTGAATTTAACCTTGACGTTCATTAAAATGCTCTAAACGCGATGAATTAATAAGAAATAATTATTAACATGCCAACTCCCAGTGTTAGATGTCTCCATGGCACTTAAAAATTCATTGATTAGCTGTAGCTGTCTGCAATGGAGGAAAAGTGATTAATTCCAAATTATACTCTTAGAGCACGCACATTATGCTAAAGGAAAAAAATAGAGTTTATGAATAAGGACTTATTTTAACTAAATAAGCTGTAGCCTTTTCTTAGTTTTTAGCGATGCTAATGTCAAGGGTAGGTATTACAATACGAGTTGGTCGGTCCATCTGTCTACCACTTTGGTCCGGACTGAAATATCATCTATATGAACATAAATTAAATTAAAACACGTTGGTTAGGTTAGCTTAGACAAAAATTTCCCATTCACTTTAATCCAAAACCACTACCTCACTACCTAAATAATTTACTTAATAGTTAGAGGTTAATTGAGATTCGGACACTTACTTATTATCATTCATCATTACCATTTAGCCTCATCACTGATGAAGAGTTGCAAAACTGTTATTTTCTCATCAGTAAAATTCACACCTTTGTATTGTGGGATTGTTAGTAGGAAGTAGTGCATGCTATGTTGGGCAACATGTAGTGGATTCACACACTCAAATAACATGGCGGACATCTAATATACAGCACTGCATATCTCTCCATTTATGCATGTGCAAATGAAATGTCAACAAAAGGTTTGGTAGTTAACTTTAATCTGTTATTTTTAGAAACTATCTCACAGCTTGGGATGCTAAAGGGACTTTCTGTTCACACAGTTAACTGCTTTTGATCAGATGTTTCCTAACAACTCATTAAAACATCAGTTAAGTCTTTATTAACTAATAAAGACTTAACTGTGTGAAACTTGCTGGCAGTTACTAAGAACACAGAGAGAACACAACACACAAACTAAGTGATGGATTTACGGACAGCAACCAGAGGATTTCTCATTAAAACCATCCACAAAGAAATCCAAATATAGAAGCCACCCGCCCCGCCTCATATTCTCCGTTTTGTACATTTCAAAGGGCCTGAATTAAAAAATTTCAGGTCTGAATGAAAATATTGAGTTTCTGTCTCTGTCTGTGATAGACCAGGGGCATGAATGTAAAGTGCTACAAGACAAATGTTTTCTATTTTCTGAAAAGCAGAACTGCACAAATTTATAGCACCTGGAGGCAGACTCAATCAAATAGGAAAATAAGGCAGACCATACCCATGCTCCCGGGTTATGCATTATACATGCTCGCAAGAGGTTTATAACACCTCGAATGAGACCTCACTGTGGATCATGTAAGATTGCCTTACTGTTCGGGAGAAATATTACTGCTTCTTAAGGTGTTGCTGTGTGCTTAACAGAGGCTGACAGCTCACACAGCAGGCTTTCACTCCGGATGTAATCATTTACGACACCCGGCACAAGGATATCACCTTGACCAGACCTCCACAATTCTGTCCATCCTTTGTCAGATATGAGCATGTTCTGCACGCTCATGTTAAGGCCAATCACTGCCCCTTCTGATTCGCTATAGCGAACTCACTGGTGGGGGAATTTGAGCTGAAAAGTGGCCTAATACTGTAGAAGCTGCCAGTCTTTCCTATGATTTGCATACATCTCCGTGGGGAGAGGGCAATGATTTAGGCAGGCTTGTCTTGAGGCAGAAGGAGGTTCAGACGTAGAGATTGGTGTAAGACATGATTGCCTCTGGGCCCATGTTGTGCGGATGAAACTCTCCGGAGGCAGTGGATGACGCAGCGCATTAATCTGCCAATATCAGCCTGCTGAATATAAGGCATCCACTTCTCATTAAGGACCAACGCATCCATCGCTACTCCAAATCTAGATGTATTGCAACCCAAACAGAAAGCACAGTCCTCATAACCTGTCAGCCGGAAATGCTGCCTGTATCGCTGTGAGCAAAAATATAAGATTTTCCTGCGTGACTATCCAATATCCGTCAGTATGAGCACAATTTCAGTTTTCGCCGGCTTCCTCCCCAAACAACAAACACACAGCTTGGTTTTTTACATTTTGATGTGGTGGGAATTAAAAGGCTTTGATATTTCAATTTCCATAAATTGTGCGGGGAATATACAGCACAGAGCTGTTTGAAGGCAGAAGAATAGGATCACAGACACGGGTGTTTGGAATTTCAAAGAAATAATGCACACAAGAGACATCAAACAGGAGTATTCAGATCCATCACAGAGAAGCTGATATAATGAATTAAAGAAATCCTCAAGGAGGTGCTGTGCTTTGCATGAGTGCATTTGAATACGCCTTCATTACCCAGGTGAAGCTGTGAGATGGCAGGTTAATGTTAATAGAGGGTTATAGAATATGAATGCACCATAAAAGAAAAGGTTACGTGTGTATGACGTAAGATACGACACTCACGCTGTAATATGACAAAGGTAAAAAGGTTTGTTTTAAATGTTAGATGTCAATGCTTTCAAATTAAGACTGATGTCATAAGAAAGATTTCAGCGGAGATGCAAAATAAGATGCGTGTGAATAAAGGTTAAAGCTCAAATTCAGAACAATCTGCTTGTTTTGTTGAGCGGTCCAAATTAAGTTGAAATTATATTAAAGCCAAAGCTTCAAGAATTTACATAACATAATTTATTATCACAGTCTATTGGCCAAATTTTAGTCACTTTGTATCTAGCAAAAGGAAGTTTCTCTCTGTTTGCCTCGATCACTGAAACACTACCATTTTGTCATTTTTTCATTCTCTTTTATTTTTTTTGAATTTCTTGAATCTCTAACTTTTCGCTGCAGTACTGTGTTTTATCGTGTAACTACAACTTGTTACGCTTGTGTAAACTGTGTAAAAAGAGACATCCTCTTAGTGAGAACTCCTGTATAAATAAAGGAATCACTCAATCAAACAGCTAAAGAGTGCTGCGCAGCAAGCTGTAAATACATCACTGACATAAGATCCCCTCATTAAGTTGATATGGGAGCAAACTGTTGTTATTAACACATCTAGCAGATTGAACAAGATTAGCATTCATTTGGAGGAGTTTTTCTGGCAACCTGATGAATATAAGCTCTTTTAGCTGATTTGTTCTTCACAAATTCTTAGTTTTCATGCAATATCTCTGTTAGTTAGTTTGTGACACCCTATAATTACACATAGTTATTTGATCCATTGTTAATATGAAGATATTGATTAGAGCACCTTTAAGTTGCTACCCAGAGTGACGAGACTAATAGCAGCTCATACATAAGTCTAGTCAAACATCTATATTCATATAATAATATGAAATTTTAATGAATTGCTGTTTCTGACTGTTGGTATATGTTTGTGTGTTTTGTGTCCCTCACCTCCTGTTTGGGGATGCTAACATAGCCCAGGTGAGGCTTGAAGGCCTTGTAGGGCTGCTTGGAGAACATCCAGTGGCTGCTGAAGGTCTGCCCGAACACTGGCTGCAGGAGGACGTAAGGCTTCTCCGAGTAGTTCACCACGACCACAAAGAGCGACACCGCCACGATCAGAATGGTGGCGATCAACGACTTCCTCTGTAAAGGGAGAGGGAGTGCACTTAAGACAAGTCTGAGAAATGTAGCAATCATAGACTAAAGCTGAATGTTTAATCAAATCTTAACTTTCATTTCTTTATTGTCAGCAGTTTAATAGCTTGAATTGAAGAGTAAACACAAAAGTGGAGGCTTCCCGGTTGCATCATCAATCTGCCTGAAGTTGCAACTGACAGATGCTATACATGGTTTGACAACAACAATTATTCTCTGAAAAGGCCAACGATATATATACTGTATATACAAATATACAACATAACCAGCCAAGACACACAGCATTTCACTGTATAACACTGTGCTTTTAGGACCACTTCAAGGTGTGAGTTGCATAAAACTTTATGAAAAGATAGAGTTACATCCTTAACTTTTAGCACCACTGAGCCAAAAGTAGGCAGGGCAGTGGAAATATTCGGAATATTCACTTCCAACAGTGATACGACTCTTTCATCAAAGTTCAATTTATTGTATAATCCGTCCTGTGTTGTACATCACTCGCTTACTGTATTGTTGCATCTGCACTTTATGCAGGTAAACGGGCCAATTGTGATGCTCTTTTCAACAGATTTCAGACAGTAGTTTTATACCGACAGATAATAGTTGATTTTGAACACATCAGTCTCTATTTGATTTCTTTCCATGTTGTCTTAGATCTTGGTGTTCTAATATCATTTACTGTATGATTGCTGGTGCAGATCACTTAATTCCCCAGTTTAGATTAGGAGTTTTGTTTATATTTCTGTTAAACGTGATGTTCAGAACTTTAAAGCTGATGAATATATAAGTTGAAATATATCTTTCTGTCAGTCATCCTAAAGAAAGAAGTCATGTGCATGTGGCAAATAAATACACTTTCAAGAGAAAGCTTTATTCGTAAGATTTATTTTTTCATATTTGGGCAAAAGAGCACTCAAACCAGTCCCAAATGAGAGGACTGAAATGCAGTTGCGTTTGCCTGAGTTATTTCAGTTCACTGTTTGGCTCATTTGGTCATCATTTTGAAATACAACAAACCAACAAGGGCAAACCAACATCAGTTTTAGCTGTGCAAATGCACATCAAGTGGTTGAAAAAAACAACTTTGCATGGCAATTTGAGTGACAGCTTGTGCTACAGACTGGTTTGTGTTTTACATAAAATGTACAGAATGCGACTGTATTTCACAACTTTAAAGAGAAACATACATGTTCACCATGTCAAAGAAGTATGTTAGTGTGAAAAAGAATCTTACTTGAGTCACTTAGATGTTGTCTGACCAGTGAGACAGAGAGACAAGAGCACTCTTACATTGAGAAGACATGAAGTAGTGGCTTTATGACAGCGAAGGAAGAAACTGTTAAATTCAATCACTATGTTTTCAATTCAACATAGATGACTCACAATAACCCCCTTCATTTTAAATGTATCGAGAATGAAAAGATCTCTGTGAAGTCCTCCTTCTTTGTTAATTTGCAGAGGTTAACACTTAACACTTAGGCATGCTAGCGGCGTGGCTCTAGGGAAGGCAATTCCAGTCAGTCAATCCACCACTTTGGTCCAGATTGAAATATCTCAAGAAGAACTATTGGATGGATTGGCATGAAAATTTTGCAGAGACATTCATGTTCCCTGGATGAAGAATCTTACTGTTTGGAGATCCTCTGTCTTTTCATCTAGCGCCACCAACAGTTTGACGTTGGTGATTCAGAGTGAAATATCTTCACATCTAAAGGATGGATTACCATGAAATTTGATACAGATATATATATATATATATCCAAGAGGATACATTCGACTGACTTTGATGATCCTCTGACCTGCTGGTGGTGCTAGAGGAAAAGTTTTCACTTATTCCGTTAAATATTTATCTAATTGATGGATTGGCTCAAAATTTGATACAGACATCCCAGATTCCCAGATGATATATTCTTATGACTTCAGAGGTGATCCTCCTCAGATTCAGACTCAGTGGAGGAAATTTGTTTTCACAGTCTGTACAAAGAACGTCTTCAACATGAATACTACACACAAACTTTTAGTACACCAGGGCTCTCAAGCCTCACGCATTCACCGTGAGACACATGCATTTCAGCCAGTTCACAGGCTCATACCTCATATTTTTCACGCTGAGAAGTAAGCTAAGAGATAATGGCCTCGGAGTTGTCCTGCTATATTCATAATTTTTCATATCTTTCTCTGTAGCCCACTAAATGCCAGAGCCGTTAAGCTGATCAGAAATTAAAATGTGTTGTTTCCGGGTAACCTCCCTGATCCCGCTGCAAGCATGTTCGTTACTAGGCAACATGAATGCGCATGCACGCACGGAGTGGAAGCTGGAAGAGCAAGACCCCAATAGATGTTGTAAATGCATTTTTTTTTTTTTAGCATTTTGATTTTACGATTCCTGGACGAAATTACTTGCCTGTGATCCATAGGCTGTGATCGTGAGAGCAGCTGATGTTGAGAGTACAGCCAAATTGCTGAGTTGCTAAATTATTATTAATGCAGTGAAAAACTCTCCAACCTCTTTGCAACCACAAGCTTTGGTGGTGAACAAAGTAACTTAGGCTTATTCAGATCCTTTAAAAAGAATAAAAGTACTAATACCTCACTGTATAAATACTCTGCAAGTACTGCATTGAAAAAGTTAAACAAAAGTATTTAAGTAGGCTATAAGCAGGAAAATGTAGAAGCAGCCTATTAAAAATAAAAGTGGCCTACTCAAAGCAGAAAGAAAAATGTCCCATATGACTGTTATACTATAATATATTATATCATTAGATTATTAATCCTTATGCATTAACGTAGGCTAGTTGGTTGAGGTTCAACTATTTTGTATTAGACTGCAATTAATGATTATTTTTATTATGTATTAGCTGTATCAGCTGATTATTTTCTCCATTAATCGATTTTAATAAATTCTGAAAATAGTTCAAAATGTTGTCACAGTTACCCAGGGCAAAATGATTAAAAACACATCAAAGTAAAATAATCAAGTAAAAGCAGCAAATCTTTACGTTTGTGAAGCTGGAACCATGAAATATTTTTACATGAAAAATGACTAATACCAAAACAGTTGCCAATTAAATTTCTGTCAATTAGCCTAACTGATGTAGTTCTACTAGCTGGACTGGCATAAACCGTTAAGTAATTTAATTTATATTAAAACATCCTATTTTTTCTATTCATACGTTTTGTGTAAAAAGCTTATTTTTTAAAGTAACTAGTAACTGAAGCTCTCAGATAAAGTAAAACGTACAATATCCCTTTCAGATGTGGTGAAGTAGAAGTGGCATGAAAAGAAAATATCCAAGTTCAGTACAAATACCTTATGGACTTAAGTACAGTACTACTTTGTTACTGTCCACCACTGTTTGGCTTTGGCTACCTTAAACTAAAGGAAATGACTAGAGATGTTTTTCTACATTTTGGCTCTGGACGGAAAGCTATTATGCATCATGATGGTGAAAATGGCTGACCTTGAGCCACAGTGATCTAAGTGGGAGCCCGATACCCCTGTCATCATCACCTGGCATTAAAATGTGCAACAAACAATTCATAAGCTGAAACGTGAAGTCTACTCATACACATAGCCTGTCAACATTGAGCACTGCTGTTTAATAGGCTTGTTTGGGGCCAAATTTCTTTTTATTTTTTATAATTTGTATTTTTGAAATGTATGTTTGATTGTCTGAGCGGCAGAAAGTGACGGTGAACGCGAGCGGAGGAAAATATTCTGGCAGTAAATGTCCTGTGGCGGTTACAGTGTGTCAGCTTCTCAAGACCAAGAAATGTTTGTCTGTTGTTTTCCCACCTGCTGGAAAATTAAAGCCTGTTAGCGCTAGCAAACAACTCCCTTCCCCTTCAGACTGCGCAGCTAAGAAGGATAGCTTTTACAGTAGGCTAGGCTGCCTCTTTTGGCTGCAATGTAACTGAACATTAACTCAATTTATAGAAAGTAACTGGTAGATTTTATTACTGCTTACTTGTTCAATGTTGAGAACATCAGTTACAAACTGAGAGTAAACTGGCGTAGCCTACAGCTCTGTCCTGTACAGACTGATTCCATTATTTTTCAATTTTCAGGTGAGTGAGAAAAAGTGGTTGTTAGGAAAAGAAAGGATGGAGGTGACCGGAGTAGCTGAGGTTAGTAAAGCTAATTAGTGATGCAAACTAGTCCTTTTAAGCTAATGAGGAGACGTTTCTTTTTGGATTTTAATCTGCAAATAAAATGCACCTCAGTTTCTCATGTTGCCTATGTTTTTATATTAATCTCTACAGATAAATGTCAAAAGCTGTAAAATGAAGACACAAAAGGCAAACATGAACAGTCGTATCTATGATGATTCTGAGGTCATATTAACAGGGTTTTCCTGCCGTTAAGGCTTAGGGGTGTTGCCCAAAACATGCTGTGCCATAAATGTAAAATCACTGTGGAGAGCATCATAACCAACCAAATTACTTTCCACAAATCTAACAGTTGTAGTTCCTCCCCAGTAGACTGATCTTTGGCTGTTGGTTATTTTTTATCTGCTCTAGCTTTTCCAACTATTTGTTCAGAGATATGGTGAAAATAATGGCCCAATATGATGTGAAATTACATATTTGTCATTGGAAAATGTAGAATTTTCTTGGGGGAGGAACCCCAAAATCCCCGACCATGACCACCATGACCACCACGACCACCACGACCAACACCAAAACATTAATCTGAAGCTCACATTAAACTGGGAAAACACTGAAGTTTTAAGCTATTCTAATGTGCATCGCATGCACGGACACAAGAGCAATGTTGCTGAGACATGTTGTGTTGGGGTTTTGTATTCATAAAATTTTGTTCTGCTACAACTCCATCCTGTATATATTTAAATAGTCTTTTATCAGATTTACCAATTGTTATAATTTCTATTTTGAACTATAAAATTTAACTGCTAGTAAAAACTTGGGAGAATTGGCTGGGGCCGAGGGGCCGCTACTGCAAATATTTGAGTGGCTCCTCATCTAAC